TATATATATATATATATAGTACCATCAAATATAAGCGTATTAACGAAAATGTAAAATGCAAGTGGATAACAATTTTTATGACTTACTGTTAGTGAACTTATTTCTTTATTGTTTGAAAATAAGGAATGTATTGAAACCAAGATCATTCATTGCTTTGATAATATCGGAAAAAATGCAATTTTTATATATTGAGATATCAGTATAGTAAAAAAAAAAAGAATTTATTCGAACATTTTATTGGCAACCATATTTTATAAGCATATTTTAAAAAAGAAAAATATATATCCGTAATATTATTACAATCAATATTTTCTGTCTTCATTCTCGTATTTAAATGGTAGATTTTCTTTATCTATTGTTATGCATAATTTTTACATACAATCGAAAGAAATTACATGATTGACCATATAAACAATGATAATATAATATATAAATGATGAATGAAAAATGTAAAAAATTAAGTATATTAAATTAAGTATATTAAATTTTATAATCATAATTTGTCAAAATATTTTGTAGTTGTTGGATATGTATAAATTTCAGTGTTCGCTTGTTCTTTATTCTTTATTTAGAAGAGGCATTGAAGAGACTAATGTATAATTTTAACTGTTTTCGAAACAGATAAATACTTTAATAAAAGTGACAAATGAAAGACGCAGAAGAAGCATTGTATTTCAATATGATTAAGGATTAAAGACTATTGAAAAAGATTGTGAAATTCTTTCTTTGTCACATTATAAAACCAATGAAAAATCGAATACAACTATTCTTCTGCAGCTTTTTTAGTTCCTATGCTTTTTATAAAAAGAAAGATGAGCTTTTCAATTTCAAACGACAAGCTCGGTTTGCCTTGAAAGGTGCAGCAGGCTGCACTGCGATTATTCAAGGCGGAAATGGGGACATCACTGGCTTGTGATGACTTTTACGAAAACGCTTCGCCTGCAGCTAATTTCCATGGTTTGAAAACGAAAGGTTCGCGAACGAAACGACAAAGTCACGGCACTACTATTATGAGTCAACTGCAGGATGAACAACGCTAATGCGTTCAATCAGACCGCACATTATGTCTCTCGTAAAAAAGACGAGAAAGGAAAAATAATTATAGCAGTTACTTACTTAGTTTATTTTTAATAGTACATCGAACACTTTATTAAACACATTTAATTAAATATATCAAGAAAGGAACACGTAATTCTTTTTGCTAGCTTTCATCATAGTCATTTTATTATACTTTTCTTTCTATTATAAAGAATTTTATGAATTATGTAACAAAAGATATTTTCTAGCTTATGTTTAATAAGTAGAATTATGCAAAAAGGATTTATTATTTGCTTTTGAGTTACAGAAGTTCTTTTTATAACGAGTATTACGATTACATTTTTGGAATATATGTTTATGAAAAAATAAAATGTAATATAAACTATGCTTTCTGCACACAAACACAATATAAATATCAATTATTTTAAAAGATTGTTTTTAATCGTTTTTATACTTCAAAAAATTGTATTGTACATTCGAGCCTTAAAAACATGTTACTCACGTATACATATATAAAGCTAATATAATAATATAACTCGCACTCCATAAATTTTCACGAAAAGAGAGAAAAACTGTTCACTCATTTTGAATACTATAGTAATTTATACAATTATCAATACTTCGGGCAGTTTTTGTTCGTTCAATTTATATGCGATTATTGATGGGAATAAATACGGCGCGCGCATCGCCATGAATTTCATTAGTCTTCCTAGCGCCAATTATTTTTTTAATTGCACAAAGGTCTAATTATTCCTATGCGCGTTTTCTCTTTATCACTAATATCATTCGCACGAGTGATATCGCATCGCGTACGCGTCCCGAATGTAAATATCTCGCGCTCTTCATGAATTTTCATTAGTGACTCGCTAGTTGTCGTTTGATCATGTCATCTTTCGCATGTCATATATTACAGAGCATGTGAAAAGCAAGGACTTAAGTCTAGAAACTCGTTTTCGAGGATTAGTATGTCAGAATTGCCGATCTGCGGCTCATCATTCTGTACACTTTAATGCTGACTGCTTCATCATGGAAATGTGAATTTACAAGTGTACCTGAATGAGAGAATTCACAGCTTCTTAATATTCTCCTTAAGAAACGTTATTTAATTTTTTATGACTCATAAGCAAACGCTTCGCGATTTGCTTGCTGAAGATTACCGAGAGTATTGTGTAATAATATTAGGATTATTGATCTTATGTGATTGCCTAGTTTTCTCAGTAATAAATAATTCATCGATACATATATATATATATATATACTGACGTCTTTTTTTTCGTATTAAATAAAAAGAGTAGAAAAACTGATTTATCGGCAAATAGAAAATATTAATACTTAGGAAAAGTCTAGGGTAAATTTTTCGTTCTTTTCTTCCTCTCGACTTCTCTTCCTTTCTAAGAGGATTATTCACCCTTTTTCACGGGGTTTACATATCTCGCGTGTTGCAGAAATCGCACCTCTCAATTTCAAAATACCAATATTCCAAAGCCTGCAATAGAATTTATATCACGGATATCATAACACGTTTACTTGGAGCAAACTATCTTTTTTACTTACGAAACTGTTATAAAGTGATTACATACAAAATGTAATGCATGTAATGTAACTTGTTAATAATGCAATTGTCCATTAACGCGCGCGTTCTCGAAAAGACAAATTGAAACAAATCTGATATTCAATAATTAATACTTTTTTTATCTTGCTTTTAATTTAAGAATGATTATTCTTGAAACAACGCATAATATAATAAAGTAGAAAAGAAAATAGTGATAGGACGTTATCAGTAACAGTCGACGACGATCGCCATACCTCTCGACTTTTGCCGAGAACCATTCTCGATATCGATCCCGGGCACGTCTCGATTCGGCGCAACTCTCAGCGTAAAGTTTGACACCGTAAACTGGTTTAGCGAAAAATGGCTTAACTTGAAGTGGCCGGCTCCATAACGTCTCCTCCTCCACTACCATCGCCGTCGGGTGCTATACAACTACGATAGACCTGATTGTGATTTAGAGCGACGGCGGCTTTCCCTGTTTGATCCTGTAATTGAGTAACCGTTCTCACGTTGCTGCGAGCAGGATATTTAGATGCCGACCACAATCTGCTCCTGGCAGTATTTCGACATTCAACTGACAATATGGATGTCATTATCTTCCATACGTGATCTTACACTGATTCCAATATTAGAATGTTAAAGATTTGTTCATGTCAGAGACATGAAAAATAAGCTTTTCTTTTAACGTTAATCACTATATCTGCTTGCTTGTTGTTTATTATTTTAGGTTTAATTAAAAGTTTTATTTTAACCTATATTTGGCATTCGTTGTTTTTTCACTATTTAAATATAGCAATTAAAAATATTCTATCTAAAAAATCTAAAAAAATTTTTTAAACATACTTGTGACATTTTTTCATAAACTATATTCATTTATATAACTCTGATATAATTAACATATAATTGAACATATAATATTATATATTTTAATTAATTAAATTATGAGAGACATTGAAGGAATTGCAGATTATATAAAGCGAGCTTTCTATTCTCTAAAGTATGAATTTAAGTACACAAATACTTGTAATGATTAATGGTTATTTTACTATTTTTCGGTCGTTACTAGTAACCCGCGGTATATGTATATGCCGCACGACAAAAATACGTAAGCTTATCCGACAGTTGAAATATCGATATACACCGCCGGCGATAAACACAGTAATAACGTGTAAACACGAGCGAATGATTAACAGTGAAAATTTTCAGGTATTTCCGCGTGTACGTGTTAAAGCAGGTGTGCAGCAAATGGAACATCCTATGTAACTTTATCTGCCAGCCCATGCAATCCTCAGCACATACTGTTGCCGGTAAACTTATACGTCTCTCACCTCGTCGTAATTTAGCTTATCGGATAGGTGTGTGCGTCCATAGGACTCAGTCGAAATTCTAAACCGCTCGTATTTTATATACATATCAAAAGTCACTGAAGCTTGCAAGTGGATTTCCTATATCATCATCTGGGAATCGAAATTTGAAACAAGGATTTGTGTCATGAGAAATCCGTGTAACTACAAACCTGCGCTACGAAGGGCTCAATGTTGATCGTAGATTGAGCTTACGTTTATATGCAATGGGAAGGATTACGTTCACTTGATGGACATTTGATAGATACGAACGGCTTACATTCGCAAACGCGAGCAAGCTTTCCTCCTGAATGTTTCCTAGAAACGCATACCCATCAGGCGTCGGATAGTGAGACGCTGTAATGTTGTATCCTCTAAATAAGCCAAAACAGCATCAGATAATACTCGAAAAACTCTTGTTTTTAATAAGGTTTAAACAGTGTATTTTAGACAGTATTTTAGAAAATAATTATGTTTATAATATTAACTTTAAAATTGATAAATATTGGAGAATAGAGTGAGGGGAAACGATATTTTAAAATATACTGTCTCAGGAATTAATTTCTTGATTAACGAATTTTCCAACATTTATGTGAAATATAGAATTCTAGTAGCAAAAATCTTAACATAATAATTATATTATTATATTGTTTCTACAATTCTAAATTGTAGTTTACTTGGTTAATTTGTATCTTGTGTTAGATATTCAAATTCCAACTAATAGCATAGCTAAAATCTCTTAATGAAATTTCATTGAAAATATAATACTATATACAGTTGGAAAAAATGTGTTGAACTTAACATAAATCGCATGTCTCTAATTTTTGAGTTAGTTTTACACAAGATAAATATATTAGAAGGTAACACAAACATTATGTAAGAGAATAAAGAAAGATTAAAAAAATAACATCGTCACAGTTTGTAAATAAATTGCAAATGAAAGCATATTTTTTGTCAGAAAATTAACATTTATATGTTAAATTAACACGGATTTTATTCATTTGTTTTAGAATTTACATTTTAAAACACATTATTTTTATGTTACTTGTTCACTTACTCATAAATTGTGTTATTTTGACATTAAAAAACATTGAATATCAATTTCACAAAAAATCTTTAAATAACATAATCACATTATATAAAATTAACACTCGAATATGTTAAAAAATTCAACACAAACCGTTTTCAACACAAATACACAAATTTTTTTACTGTGTAGATATAGTGATTCATTAAAATTATATGATGAAATCGTGTGACATTACGAGATGCTCTTATTACTTATTAAATATTTAAAATTTAAAATTCATGATACTAAGTATAATTTTCGAACGAATTTTTTAACGTCGACATTTTAAAACATTTAAACAGAATTTAGATATCATTTATATTGTAAGATTTATATTATAAATCATTAAAATTTTTGACCCCGATGTAAATCTTTTAAATAAAAAATAAAATAAAACCAATAGTATAAACAAGCATTTAATATTCAACTTGACCGATGTTTAATGAATAGTTTAGCTCTAATTTGTTTCTGTCAATCCCTTGCGACATTATTTATTAAATATCGGTTGATCATATCCTTAGGGATAGTTACATATTTTATAATTATGGCATAAGCTTATATGCCGCTAGAGAGACATTTAACTATTGATTATGTTTCAAGAATGTTTGTCGCGTAGAATGTAGATATAATCAGGACCGGGCAAAATACAATTATTTTGTATTTTGTAATACAAATGTGTTTTATAAGTTATTTTTAATTTTTATAAATTCCGTTAATTGCAATAATGAATAGATATAAAGATTAACATAATTTAGATATTATATTAGCAGCATTTACAAATTGATATTTAATTAAGAATTTAGAAGAGAGAATTATTGCAGCATAAACAAAACATTGATATCAATACAGTACGCCTAAAAATCTTTTGACATTATATTTGTTCGATATCGTTGGATAGCACCATTCATAAACTTGAAATCTTACGGCGTCTCCAAAAAATCGTTATATAGTGCTGTCATAAAAATCGAGATATAGCAGGAAATAGAATTCGAATATCAAGTCACAAAACATACACGCACACACACACACACACACACACACACACACACACATTTTCTAGTGAGGCTATATCTCTTAAAAAATTAAATTTTCATTTTTCCAAATGTAATTGTTTGAAAATTTTATGGTATATTGAAACAATGATCATCATTTGTCTAAACAGACAATCGTGCAATTTATTTAAAATAATGTCAAAAAGATGAAGCATGGAAATAATAAATTATCGTTTCATAATATTTCGGATGATAATTATTTTTGTATAACAATGCTCACGTGGATCTTCATAAAGGTTGTAATATATTTTAAATTTTGCGTCAATTTAAATAAATTTTGTCCATTTCATTTATTTAGTTAGTTTATTGTTTTTTAAATATAGATTTTTTAACTACTGCTATAATTTGATTTCATATTTGTATGTCACAGATCAGCATAATTACAACTCTGCTGTGCAAATAAATTAAAATGCAAATAAATTAAAATAAATTATTTTTTAATTTTAAGGTAACAAATCTGTGAAAATTATATCAAGTATATAGATAATGTAATAGATCACGTATTTACATGTATTAAGTAATTCGACAATAATATAAAAATATTACAAATAAGTATAGCATCTCATAGATCTCATAGATTTGTTATCTTAAAATGGATGAGCTAAGATTGAACATTTAATTTTTTAATATGCATCAATTACAAGCATGGATAATAAGCAATTGAAAATTTTTCCCAGTTACAATATATTTAAATTAATTTGTTTGTTAATAAGAAAGTTAATAATTATTAATTATATTTATTTTTATAATGCATTAATTTGTTATCCAAGAATTTTTCATGAATATCACTATTCATACTTATCAACCACTTTAGATCATTATTTTAAATAAAATAATATGAAATCTTATAATAAGATAATATGGTAATATGAAAGATAAGAGATCTAATAATTTCATTTCCTCATATATTGTGAGATATTTTCAATAATTGTGCATTAAGAAATGTGGAAGATTTTATATATATGTTTAGTAATTATTATATATTATTAGTAATTATTTAGTAATTATTTTGTTTTTCAATAGAAAAAATTTCATCCGCTATATTTTTCAAGTAACTCAATATGTAATGTAACGATTATTCATACTTTATTCTCTTACACGAATTCTCTTATTCTCTTATTCTCTTATTTTCTTATACTTTAGTTTTTCATATATTCTAGAAGTATTTTATCCTACTGGTGAATCTATGCATTCGCAAAGTTGCTAAATCCATAAGAGTCTTCTCATATGTGTGAATGTGTGCCGTTCCACTTTCTAGATAATCCTCTCATTCTTGGTATGCACTCATAGAAAACTCCGTATTAAGAATATTTGAATTAAAAAGTTTTTGTTGTCTGAACGTACTTATAAATAATGCGTTGCATCTTTCCAATATTATGCATATTCACAAAGTGATCATACAACAATAAATTGAAGATTATGTAAGTAAAATACATAAAATAACGAATTTCAAACGACTTAACCTTTTTTTATCAGCGATTGTTAAATGCAACTGGAAATACAAATTGGAAGTTTTTTGCAGATATTTTCTTTATTTTTATTCCTTGAATAAATCTGATTTCTTTCGATATTATATTTTCTGATATCGTGCAAAAGAAACTGGCAATGAATACATACGTTAATAAAATTGATCACTGAGATCGTAAAAAATCATCGCATTGATCAACATTGAACATATTAAAAAGAAGACGGCAGACAGCGAACTATCGGTGTTCGTTGTGCGTCGCGTCGTCGTAATTCGGTATCGATTTGCAATCAAGTAAATTTGACAATCGCGACAGACGGAATTCCCGATGATTCGGTACACAATAGCTCATCGGAGAAGGAT